CCTGTAAGGACAGAAATTTGCTCTGCTCCCAACCCCACACATCCAGCTGGGGACTCCCATGGACACCACAGTTTTGTTCTGTTCCAGCACTTTGTTGGAGAGAAGAAAAGATGGAACAACTTTAGGGTGGAAAGTACATGAATAACATAATCTCCTGAAATGAGCAACAGCTCCCTGCACCTCTAGGATGCATTCATGTATAATTCAAAAAAATATTAACCCACACTTCCACATGACTTTAAAAATGGATTTCCAAAATAATTTCAGCTTTAATAACTCCAGGTGCTAATGAACTTTCTAGTAAGTATGGCATTAACTACTGATTTTTCCCATCAGGTTAGACAAGGAAATTATCCAGGCAGCTACAAATTGATTTCACTTTCAATGTAACTGCACCCCTTGCTGCATGCACCATGATGATGAGCCACAAAGAGCCACAAAGGAACATCACATTAAACAAAATCCATTCTTGCTATAATTTCATGCCAACATTTTTCTTCTCCAGCCACCAACTGAAAATTGTATGTAAAGCTGATCTAGTCGTACCCCTTTAAATAAACAGCCTTTGTTCTAGCAAGAGTTCACGGAAAGCAAAGATCTCTTCTAACCTGAATCAACAGTAGCTGTCATCTGAAATCAAGTACTCCTGCCTTGGTATCTTGGGAAATTCAAAACTGTGAGTACCAAGTGGCACACTCAAGTTCAAACAAAAAGCAGCCATTGAAATACATTCTGGATCATGTTCCAGAAACAAGGTAACTGTTTGAATCTGTCATGATACTACCAAATGTCATAGACAGGGATGAGCACAGTTTTAAGAGGCTAGGGTGAGGAAAAGGGTCTCTCTTTCCCCCCCACTAACCTCCTGTACCAAACTTTCAGAGGTTCTGAGACTTGTCCCTGGTGCCTTCACCCTACTAAGAAGCTGCAGTGCAAAACAGCACAGGCACCTGTGTGTCCTCCACTCTCCTGGGACTTGTGATTCTGTACCACCAACACAACTGTGCTCCTCATTTACTCCTCTTTAAGGGTCCGTATGTCCATAGAAACTCCACACAAAGCAGTTTTGTTTTCCTCCAGCACTTCGTCAGGAGGGAGGAGGAACAGTATGAGTCTGAGGTGGGAAGAGGAAGCGCAGACTAGCTCTATCTTCTCCTATTCTCCACTAGTCAAACAGAGATGCCATGGAGCTAGCATGCCCCCAGCCCTGTGGAAAGAGGGGATGGGAAAGGAGAAAACAGGCTAAGTGGACAACACAGGATAGAAGATAAGGCCAATTGCATGGAGATTGTCATATCACAACCAGCTCTTTGAACTTTTACCCCTGAACTACACTTAAAAAAAAAGTTTAACCCATATAGTCAGAGGTAAGAAAACAAGCAACTTGCCATCACTATTAATAGCAGAATTACAGCAATATGTATGAGTAAGAGATAATGAATTCCAGAGACTTCAATCAGAATAATCCAAAGACATTCAGAACAGGGAAAAAAAGAGCACTACAGTGGGATTCATTCACTCAACAGCTTTCCTCAGGAAAGCTCTGAGGTATGAACAGTCCCTGCATTTGAAATGATCTGTAAAATCCATATTGGAGGTTTGTTTCCTCTTTGCTCAAATTAGCTTTTATTCCTATGGAGTTCTACGCAGCCCTGAGCAACTACCAGGATCAGAGAAAGAGTGCAGGACTTGAAACAGCCCTTTATCTCTACAGTCATCAGTACATGACATTTCTAGTGAAAAGGATTTAGGGAGTTAACTAAAAAAAGTTCTTAGCAGTCACGCACTGATATCACAAAATCGAACATGATAAAACAAGTGCTGCTACCTACAAGTGATGAGAAAACAGATGCAGTGGGCAGGGATGACAAGGCTGGAAAAGCAGTGGAAGCCTCCAGCTGAGATTGAAGCGTGCTGCTAGGATGGGTGTGCAATCTGGCAGCCACTGGGAAGGGGTTATAAGTGTCAGGGTAGATATGTCCTGGAAGAAGTGCTCTAGAAAAAAAGACTAAAGCTATAAGAGCTCCTACACATGATGCTAAGGTTCACTAACTGACCACCACTGAAGGAATGTACAAAGGATGTAAGCTATGTGGTTATTAACTCCCACTTATTCAGAAATATTCAGAGAACTAGCCTTCTGTGCTCCTTTCTTCCTTGAGGGCAGGGGGAGAAGGTTTAAGAACTGCTTTCATCAAGACTGAAAGTTTGTACCATGGAAGTCCAAACTAAAATAAACTCTAGACCATCTATGGGACAGCCTATACTAAACACAAACAAAACTTTGAGCAGAAATGGAAAAACTGCACCAAACCTGAAGATAGCACTTGTAATTACCAGAATCTAAAAAGAACTCCAAGAAAATTCTGAAACTGAAACCACCACAAGTATTAATTCCACACACAACATATATCAAAAAGACAAAAACAGGTTAAATGTGCAAAACACAAGTCACTGCTAAGTCTGAGACTATACTGTCCACCATCAACAGATGTGGATAACATTACATTAACCCTGGAAGGTTCTTAAGTAATCTGAGTCACCATCAAAACATGGAAGACCTATGTTCCTAAAACAAAGCCACTATTTTGCAAGCAAGCAGTAAAAATGTTAGGTCTGTAACTGTTATCACTATTACTTAAAACAAGCAATCAGTTTCAGTTTGGACAAAACATATATGCAGCCTGTTGCCCTTCCAAGGAAATAACTTTTAAAGATTAATAATCTTCTAAATCTTGTAGTGCTAGAAATATGCAAGAGCCTATCCATGAGGGCAGGATCCCCCCAGGATCCCCAATGGAACATATACAGAACAGCCACAGTACCAGGAGAGGAGAACAGCACAGCTGGGAACAGGGAGAACAAAGTTTTAACAGAAATTATTAAAACTAAGCTTTTAAAAAGCTTCATAGTACAAACATTAGCGTACTTCCTTCTTTCTTGTGAATAAAAGTAACTGTTCCTAAGATGATTTTTATGAACACGGGTCATCTACAAAGAGACAGGACTATAAACATCAGACGGGCAAAATAAAATGATCCTAAGTTAGCTATATTTCATAGGCCAAATAGCAGAAGACTGGCTTTATATTAGATCTAAGGTAATATAGATGTCAAATGACATTTCTGAGGCAGTATGTAGCTGTGAAAAGATACCAGGAAAAGCAGAGTGGACACCTCCACAGAAAACATAATTATACAGCTAGGCACACAGAAAGCATCCTGATATTCTGGCAGACAGAATTAAAGCTGAAACAATCTGAAACCTCAGAGGCAATCTAGCTTTGCTCAGATTGTGTAAGAGAGCTTTTCCTGTACCTGATGAACAACTACAAAAACATTTTACGTTAGTTATATGTAAATTGTCTTTTTACTCTTCCTCATTATTTCCTACATTTGTTAAAATTTATTTTTAATTAGTCACTAAAGAAATATAAAGTATAAATATGTTTCTAGTGCTTTAAGATTAAAATAAACAGCTGTCATTAACGGCTAGCAATGTTCTAATATACCTACATTAATTTTGTTTGCTTTGGAAAGAATAATCCTGACAAACAACTATGAGTATTCAGCCACAATAATATAGATGTAAATGATTAAATACATAGGTCTATGATAAAATAACCAGGGAGAATGACCCACTTGGACATGACATACAGCCACTCTTCTCTGTTAATAAAAGTTTGTCTACAACATCATGCTGCCTATTGCTCCACTGGGTGCAGGTTCCCGTGAACAAAACAACAAGGTCACCGCCAGCCTCTTTGAGACAAAGTAATCTGTGGCCCTATAACTCTATCTCCTGGGAATTCTCTTGTTTCTTACCTGAACTAACACTTCCATTTCGTTACTTTCTCATTAGAAAAAGCCATCACATGAATAAAACCAGAGAAGTATTGTGTAAACATTTTATAATTTGTGTAAACATTCTATAAGCATTTTAAATCAAAACAGCATCTCCAAGTAGCACATAGTTGAAAGAATATTAAAAAAAACCCAACCAAACAACACTTGAGGACAACAATGTACTTCGAAACCAAAACTACTTTAGTAACTAGAAGAGAGAATTATCCATCTTTAACATATTCTACACTAAGAAAAGGAAGGCTATTCTCAGCAGATTTAAGTAGGTGCATTCAAAAATCTGCACACCCTTTGAAATTATTAAAAATCCTAATTTTAAAGGAAGCAAATACAGCATCCCCTTAGGCTTGGGCTGTAATTTTATGATACAAGGAGTTTGGTGGAAAATACAGTACAGGGAATTCCTGCCTGAGCCACGCACTCCTGTCTACATGCCCTAGAAGATCAGCCCTTCTACTGGGCCAACAAACATATTTCTAGGATCATGCCATGAACCAGAACAGCCACCTAATCTTGCTTAAATGTAACCTGCCCAGCACAGGTCCACTGACAGCTATATTGGTCCTAACTGAAGATGAGAATGGGGCAATTATAACTAGGTGAGGATAGAGGTGACAACTTAGTACTGCCACCTTTCATGTTGTAAAATAAAAAAACTAAACCCAACCTGTATGCTGTCAGAAAAGAACATTTTTTCAGTTGTTAAAGATGATTTTTGTAAGTGAGCAATAATTACCCATAGCATCCATTAAACTGTTTACCTATGGGCAAGCCAGTGATGTAAATGTATTTAATTTCACTGGGTCCTTTTAATAATACAAGTAATTGTAAATTGATTTATTTACTTCTTTATATAATTGCTTCCCCAGAATCTGTAGCTATTTTAAAAATTCTACCCTCCTCACAATTTATGCTTGTGGCCTGTTTTCATGATGGAAATTTTATTTGGCCAGGAGTCCAAATTTAACCTACATTAAATTCCTATTTAAATTAAACACCTACATAAGCACTTCTCCCTACCAAGCACTGGACAAATCCTAACCCTTGTGCTATCTACCAAGATGTCACTCACCAAAATTAGTAACGCCAGTTTTGTATAACAAGTGTATGCAGAGATTCACAACCCCATTCACTTACCACTCTCATCAAGTAAGTCCTCCTCGTCATCCCCATCATTATCCTCCTCCATCGCCTCCTCCTCATCTTCCTCCTCCTCCTCTTCCATATCCTCCTGCTCCAAGTCCGGGTCCAGGTCCGGATCACTCCCTGAGATTGACTCGTCTGACATGATTCCCAGTGGTGCTCCTTGTGCATTACCTGCTCATGTTCTACCGTGAGGCAGCCCTGCAAGAAAAGAAAAGAGGTACATAATGAGCCCATTAAATCCCAACCTTTGAGCCTAAAGGCTCAAAGTCATAGCAGGATTACTGCATATAAAAACACAAATCTGTCATCAGTCTTTTAAGTAACAGTTATATCAGACTGTGCACAAAATCCTGAAATGGAGAAAATGGATGCCATAAGCAACGTATCATAATGATACAGACCCAGCACTGTAGAATCAATATCAGAACCAATATATTAACTAATCACTCAAAACCACCTCTTTCTTGGTATGTTTGACATGTACACAGCAGAAAGATTCCTAGTATCAATGTCTGATTATACAAAGATGCAAAAATAAATAAATTATGTGAACAATTTCAGAACACTACTGTCCAAAGATGAAGCACAGAAAAAAGGATCAGTCTCAGAATCCCATATGGATACCTGTTACCCTGATCCCTGACCACTGCAAAAATCATCGCAGTATGCAGACCGTGGGTCGCAGACAGAAGCCACCCTCCTGACTTAGCTGTATCTGCTGCGAAGGTCACCCAGCTACTCATCACAGCCTGTCTGAAGTCTCCGTTCCAACCAACAGAACAGAGACAGCATTACCTTATAACAGTACAGACAGAAGGCAACAATGATCCAATTTTTAAAGGTTATACGTCCCTTTGTAAAGCAGGGTGAGAAGAAAAGTAAACACAAAGGAAGGATGGATCAGAGAGAATTTGCATTTCCTTTCTCTAAAATACAAGAATTGAAGCTGGCTGTGCATAACTCCTGTGTTACACTACTCCAGGTCATCACAGCAGAAATCATGGTACAAAACAACAATAAAGCTTAAAGAGAGGGCCAGGGTAATCATGAAGTCACAAGTTTATCTGTTCAGATCATGCACTGTCACTTCTGGACAGTGATGGGTACTCCTCTTCCATACACAAAGAATTATCATAAAGGAGCTGTCAGATGGATGAAAAGAAAGAAACACAACCAAGAAAGGAAAATAAAGAAGGCATCTTGATCTCAGGGAACATGAAGCAAAGGATGTGTTCAAAAATCAAACCTCAGAAGAATTACTACCCACACATTCCCCAGAAAGCTTTAAAGAAAGATGAGGGAAACATTTCCTCGTCACTCATTTTCCACTGCTCCCTACTTACACCACATTTCCAGTGTAAACTATAAAATGTTTGAGAACTAATCAGGCACTTAAAAAAAAAAAGAAAAAAGAAACTTCTAAGCAGATAAGGCAGCATACATATCTACAAACACTTCAAGAAACAGAAAAATGTCATTTTCAGCTGTGTTTCAGCAGTAACTAGATGAGCTCAGAAACTTGAAGGTTAAAGACACAACTCAACACCCCTGTGGCAGGGCTGAAAATCTAACTGTCAAGTATGCTGAATTATTCTAGCTGAAGTCATCAGTTCCTGCTTTGCCTCTCTCAGCTCCTCAATAACATTAAAGAGTGTCTCAAAGAAAATAAACACAAGGGAAGAACAGGCTTTGCGGAGACTGGTATTGGAATAGGAAGCCTTTCACCATTAGGTCCCAGGAGCACTTTACCACCAGGCAGAGACAACTGAAGTCCCTACACTATTACACATGTCACACAAAATAAGTTGGCTTAGTCAAGCAGATGGTAGAAAAGGCCAAAATCTAAATTAGCTCAAGTGGAACTGTGCCAGTTTACACAAGCCAAAGAGATTCACTCAGCTTCTCTGGTCTGCTGGTAGGCAGGTACTGAGCCCTGTTGCTGTTAGCTTGCTGCAATACGGTGACCCCTGGGCACTGCAAGGTCCGGCACCCGCTTACTTTCTGATGTCTAGTGACTTCAGTCAAGGACTGCAGACACAAAGCAATCTCTTATCAGAAGTTTTTCCGGACAAATGCTGTGCTAAAGTCTATGTGTATTTCCAAACAGTGGCTTATTTTTACTTTTAAACAGCAACAATGTTCCCTTCCAGCTGATATTCAGCCCTAAGGAAAACAAACATTGTTTTAGTCTTTACAGGTTGTATTCAAACCTGTAACTGTAAAGCTCCATGTGTTTCCTTACATTTCAGGAGGAGATGGCCAGTAGCATTACCTTTGTGGGTCTCTGCTGGTCACCTGGGATTTCAAGGAGATTTATTTATTCCCATGTTGCCCATACTGTGCTCTAAAGCATCTCGCATGCTCTCTGCTGGAAATCATATCAACAGAAGCATATTAAAAAATTCCCTGTTTTACTATCCAAGCAAACTAAGTCCCAACTAAAAAACCAAACCAAAACAAAACAAAAAAAACCAACCAAACAAAAAAAAAACAAAAAGAAGAAACACAAACACTACTTAAACGGCAGGAATGAATTCTCATCTACAAATGGGAAAAGCAGAAGGGCTGTAATGGCACTAAACGCTCCAGGTCAAAGGACACATGATACAGTTTCTCCCATCAGTATTCTCCTGTGTGTCATCTCTCATGTTTCATCACTTGTCCCAGAACCTTAAAAAAAAAACAACAAAAACCAAAAACACACCACAAAACACTTTCTGAAAACTGTTTAAAGGAAAGGATATGGGTCCCTGTATTTCTATAAATAAAATCAAACCCAGTGGAGAGCAGCAGAGCAGCTATCTCTCAAACGGGAGTACAAAAGGGCTCTAATCTAAGCTTTATTTTTGTTTAGCAGTAAATATATGTTCTTTATAAGCTAACTCTTGACACCCGTTCAGCAGCCCCAGCCATATGCAGGAGAGTTAAACAGAAGCCTTCAAAAAGACTTAATTAAATCTTGCAGAAGCTGGGTGAAACAAAGATGGTTAACTCCTCTGTGCCTATTGTCAGGCTGCTGTCTGTCTTCCTCCCTCCCATCCTCCTCCTCCGCTCTGGCAGCTCAGCAGCCACTCTCCATTGTGTAAGCCCTGGGTCTCGGGAGGGCTCCCACCCTGCCTGGTGGCATTGGGAGCACGCAGCAGGGACACGGCATGACAGGCAGGTAGGCATTACACAGCTGTGAGACTGCCCTCGTTTCTCACACCAATCTGACCCAGTTCAGAGCCTTCCACCAAGGGGAATTACACAACAGGGCCAGATTGTAGCTGTCGCTACTGTTTTATGGCTGAGTTATTCCATCCTGCCGCATCTCTTGCCTTTGCACACACAGGCACACCATGCTCAACGTTTAATCGCTGTAGGAAGGGCACTTTGCAAGAGATAAACAGATTACCTTCAACTGATCAAAGTTACAGTTTGTCTGGACTTTCCAGCTGTCCCACATTAGACCAACCCACAAGCCTCCTGCCCTGCTGCAAAAAGGGAAGCTGCACCCCGAGCGGTATGCTGTGAAGAGGGTTACCAGTACCAAGAAATACAAAACCAAACCTGCTGCACCACGCTTTACAACAGAAAGCCAGAAGTCCATACAGTATTGTGCCCAGTTCGATACACGGTGAGGCCACTGAGAAAACAGGGTGGGCTATTAAAGTGAAAACACTTGGAAAAATTCCTCTTGCTTACTCAGAGTGGAGAAAAGAGCTGTCATGTTTATCCTACCCAGGAAGCTAAACCCTACAATCAACTGCACATCAAATTAACATCCAAGACAGCCTCTCTCATGTATTATGTCCTGTCTTTCAACAAAGATAAAAATAGTTCTGAAGTTTTGGGTGCTTTCCTTTTTTAAGGTAGAACATTTCAGATAGTAAGTAAATGCCATGTGGTGATGAGGCTGCCTCCTCCTCGGCCTGCACAGAAAGGAGGCCCAGTTCTGGATGAGGAACTTCGAGGGCTTGCAAATTCGGACACATTTCCGTTGTCCTCATGTTTTTCTTTTGCTCTACAAAGGTTTAAAATCACCATTTCTTCTCATGTATGAAGATGAGAGAAATGTGAAAGTGAACTTCCCGTCTGAGCAATAGTTTTTTCACCACAGGGTCACGCACACCATGAGCCAAACTATTAAGGGAAACAGCAAACATCATGGGATCTGGTGACTTTGCCCATTTGTGTACAACACCATCGCTTTCATCAGAGGACTCATCAGCGCTATAAAAACTAAACTATTACTTAATTAACTATTACAAATGTAAACAAGTAAAAAGGAAGGATGCAGGACAGGGCAGACGGGAGTCCTTCCCCACCTGAGTAAGGAGGAGCAGGATTCCCCTGTACCTCCAGGAAGCCACAAAAGCCAAAGTGGCTTTACAGAAGCTCTTTGCCTGCTACGACACAGGTGATTTAGGCACAGGACATGCTTGTTCCTGAGTACATGTGCATCCCATACAAATCCCTTCAGAAAGGGCAGGTTTAACACTAATGCTACTATGGTGCTGAATAGTAAAGAGGATTCAATCACCTCCCCAACCTCCAGCCAAGCCCAATATCTGGGACTCATCAAGATTTGTCCCTTAAAGCCTGTTTTGTAACCAAGACTTCACATTGGTCATTGTGGTGCCTGGCCATAGAAACAGGATAAAGCATGCTGGCAAATCACAAGAGGATTTGCACAGACAGTGAAATACCTGGTTTTATTAAAAAGTCAGTGCTGCATAATGCTCTTCAGTTTCTGCTATACAGTCATGTTTTATGGTAATAATAATTTCCATTATCTTTTTTCTTTTTTGTTTGGCAGCAAAACAGCTGGTTGGTTGGGGCCATAAGATTCCTCTTACACACTCAGCTCACACATAAATACTTCAAACTGGATGTGTATGAAGGTAACTGCTGGCTCCTCTGGAGAAATCTCATCTTTTTGCTAGATCGCTGCTAGCACAGTTTTGGTACCTTATAGGTAACCTTCAGTAACTAATGGAAAATTATTATAAAGCATACAGATGGATCACTAAAGAAGTCATGAGCTTAAGCTTCTCTGTACAATAAAAAAAATCTTGTAACAGTTTGCAAGTAATAACTTGCAATGTTATTGCAAAATAGCAATGAATACTTTTCTGTTCAATTTAAAAAAATCTAATAAGAAATAAACCTGAGATCAGTGGGTTTGGACAGTTTGATTCTAACAAATATTAGAACTTCTCTAATTTATGTTATGTAACATATTAACATTTGTATTTTAAAATTATCATGTAAAAAATGGCAAGGGAGGGGGGGAATCACTTAAAAGAATAAATGCTTTCTCAAAAAAGAGCCAACAGTGTTACTGACCAACACTAGTCTAGCAGATCCCCTATATGCTTTTAACAAAGCAGGAATTTCTTTCCCCCAGCAATAACGCCCAGAAGTTGCATTTAAAGCCATCCTTAATTGATTACTTCATGATTTAAATCCCTTCTTCCTTTGCAGTCTGAGACTGTTAAGACTCGAGCAATACAGTTCTTCAGCTGTGACTCACAGGTAACTGGTGGCCACACACTGCTAGCTGGGAAGGAAGAAAACAATTCTCCTCCTTCATTTCCTCTTGTTCAAATCACAATGAACCTAAGTGGCATTGGTCCCCTCTCTAAATGATGTGTTTACTACAGGAATATTAACTCAAGAAAGAGAAAAGAAGCATCCTGTAAAATCATAAATTGCAAGGCATCTGCTTGCCCTGGACCACCCTTCTGAGGAAGGCAAGTGTGCTTCTCCCCACCCCATGTAAACATAGGCACAACGCATCTAGTCTTCGCCCACATTTGATGCAAGTTATTAAGGAGCCCACTGTGATTTGTGGGAAGCAGGAATTGAGAGAAAAAATAACAGAGTGCTTTAAAAAACACTTCCATATATCAGTTTTGGGAGAGTTGCAGGACCTGCTCTTTTATTCTAGGTTAACAATCTCCTTCCTAAAAGGCACCACAACACTAAAAATGGCCTGAAACTGGTTGTTCCCTGACAACAAAAACAACAAAAGCTGCTGCAAGAAGGGGTGGGAGAAAGCAAAAAAAATCCCCTAAAACCAACCCACAAAGAAAGAAAAGGGAGAGCTAATCCTTCCCCTCTGCTGACATGACAGTGCTGGAATGGAGAATGTGACAATGAACATTACATAAGGCCTGGCTCCCACTGCGATCCCAAACAAAAAGAGCTAGCGCGAGTCAATGGCAGCATCTGCAGATCATTACACAACCTGGACTGGTGGCAGCGGCACACACCGGCATCATCCATCAACCGCTGCGGGAACCTCCTGCCACAAGGTCCTTTCGCTCCTGTGTTTCAGAAGGGATGTGGGTACACCCTACTGCTGATAGTGTCAACATTTTGTAACCTTTAAAGAAAAAACCTGAATATTCTTCATAAGGTGTCAGCACTCACCACACAGACTTTGTAAGGCACTGACAAGCTCTTTATCTCTGGACAGAGCCAGCAGAAATGGGCAAACTATTTTTTTGTTTGTATATAAGTATGTACATAATTATTTGCCTAACCAATGTTGCATTTCTTTTAAAAGCAATTTTATTTAATCATGTTAAAGTAGAAATTGTCTTCCTATAAATCAACTCTTTCCTTTGAAATACTTGAAATTCCCTCACCAGTGAACCACGCGATCTAGAAAAGTGGTTTGTTTTGTACTGCATAAAAGTTCAGGCTATTTGAGGTAAGAAGCATGAGATTGGTTTTGCTTCCAGTAATTACCGATATTCATTTGGATTAACACCATCACAAATGAACAAAAATTTTGTCTCTTACTTCACAGAATCTCCATTTATGTTTTTAGCTCTGGCAACTTCTGTAAAAATGGCATTTGCATTCCCTGCTAAAGAAAACGTTGAGAAAAGGAAATTTTCCTTCCCTGATCACTGTTTCTGCTTTCAAAGCGAACAGCATTTCAACATAAAAGCCACTTTCAAGTGTGCTTTTGCAAGTTTTGCCCATGGTGCTACAGCTATAGAAAAACAACCACTACCTGTGAGCGGAGTAAAATCCCAAGAAGTTATTTCAAATGATGGGGAAGACTCAATAATAGAGCATAGCATGTCAGGATTCCAAATTATATTCAATACATTTTATATAGCAGATTAATTTGGGGTAAATTTGCCTACCCTGCATTAATGATAACCATTCTCAAATTCCAAAAGAGAGATTTTAAAAGTCAGGTCATGGGAGACATATGCCAAGCCTTCTCTTTGTGAGTACCAAAACCATGTCAAGATGTGAGCCAATTCCCACAAGCAGGGAAGATCCAGATAACTGAAAGATCCCTCTAGGAGTTTAAGCTCTTGTTATACATAGGTGCCAGAGAAGAAGTTATGTAATAAATCAAGAATAAATTACATAAACAGAAGCACTGGAACAGAGAGGAGTGAAAAGACAAAGAGCTAATCCCCTCTCAAGTAAAGATCAGTCACTGTCACCCTATGAAGACAAGCTATGGCTTTGGTCATTGAGATATGCTAACATTATGGCTTACTTCCTTGACGAGTATCCCACAGAAACAGACTTACATAGCTCATAAACAATGTTTTCATCTTTCAGAATGAGGAAAATTGCATGTTTTCCCAATGCTGAAAGGCCTATTTGATCTATCCTGTTTTCTCAGTATAGCCGCATCAACACACTCTTCTTTCTTTGCCTCCCAGAGAAGCACAGTTCATTACAGGGGAATGATTCACTGTTTTTGACTGCATCTCTGCTCAGGAAACAAGCTTTCCCATCAGCAGCGGTCCAGGGCAACCCACCATCCCCTATGAGACAGACGCCAGTCACATTGCACACTGTCATCAACAGATCACAAAGTAAACACAACTTAACTCTTTCTTTGGTCATATGTCTGCATTTCACTAAAAAGTGTTGCAGAGGTCTGGGAGTTTGTTTTTGATGCCTCATCTCTCTTCCTCTTCAGAACCGGACTTGAAACCTGAGGTTTTGGTTTATAGAGTTTTTAGGAAAAGGAAGAATTCAACATGGTTTTGTTCCTCTTTATTCCCTACCCCATCTCCAGCAATGATAATTACACTAGCAACATGAGAGCATTACTTATGCCACCTACAGTTTACCAAAGAAACTAGAACACAAATGAAAAAAGAAAGACGACCAAAAAATCCTGAAGTAGGAGGAAATGGAAATAAACAGTTTTGAACTTGCATGATGTGAAGATGACAATTAGCATATGTTAGACCCAAGTTGCTCCAGTCTGTCAAGCAATCAGACATTAAACTAATTTTTATTGGATTCCACTGTAGATTAAAAATCCATTAAAGGATTAAAAACTGTCAGAAACATGGTTTCTTTCAGAGTCATTCCCTCCAACAGAACATTCTACTTGCACAGTGCTGGGAAAAGCTTGCATTAAGTGCCACTTATTAAGGTCACTTTTCTGCTGGTTTTGAGAACAAGTCACCAAAATCTGTTGATCTTTGCCTTTTCAACTAAACAGGTCAAAATAAAACACTCACACCAATCCTTATCTATCCTGCACAAATACATTTGTTTTGGTAACACTTTAAGATTGACACTATAGGCAGCTCACATGGAAAGTAACTGGATGAAATAGGCTCCTGTGGTTTTGTCCTTAGTAATGGAAGCGCCACTTTGGTTGCATTTTGCTGGCTCAAAACCTCCCAATGGTTTGGACAGGCCTGCAAGGGAAAAGAATGCAGCTTACTGCCTCTCACCATACAGTACAAACAGTCCAACACACTGTTCAGGGGGTCATTTGCATACACACACAAAGAGCACCCCAATTAGAGCTAGTCTTACTTCACAAAAGAAACTGAGCTATGAGTCTTATTATATACATATTACATTTTTAGCTTATAAAATTGTGCGTATATGACTACACACTTGAGCTTACTTTCAAAAGAGCTTTAAAAGCAGCACAATGCAAGTTTGGCTAAGGAGATACATAAATATTAAACAGAAAGACAATGTATCTTGCAGGTCACCATACCCTTCTGTCCAGTCCCAGCATAAGTTAAACAGGACACTAACTACCATTACGAACGGGCACAAGCATATCCAATGCTAAGATAGGAAGGTGCAATTGAAAAGGGACATATTAGCAAATTATTAAAAAACACTGTATGGAAAATAAGGATCACGACAGTCATCTACACAAGTAGCTGCTGGCTACTAGACACAACTCTTTTAGAGAAAAAATGTCACTATCTCCCAAATGCATAAATTCACTTAACTTTCATAAAAGCTAGGAGTGTCTTTTGTAGTACTTGCTCTTACTGAACAGACAATACTGTATAGATATTCATACCCATGCAGAATCCAAATGTTATGTTTCCAAGATTCAGAATCAAAATGATAAAGAGCATTCAGCTGTGATCTTCAAAAAACCATAACCTTTTGGGTATTCTTTCTCTCAAAGTTAAGTGCAAGTTTCAGGCAACTGCTTTCCCCAAGTGACCACTTTTTCTATCAAAGCTCGTTTAGTGTTTGCAAATGCTGCTTGACTGGCAGCCGTACTCAGCGAGCCAGTACAGAAGGAACTGCAGGCAAGCCAGTTCTTCTAGCGTCCTGTTGACATGTTACCATCCCAAGCGAAGGGGACCATATGTTGTAAGAAGTCAGCATCCCTACACTCAGCTGCCGCTATTTCCCAAAATATAACAGGAACGGAATTTCTTGTCCCATCTCTATTTTTCCTCCCCTCTTCTTAAATTATTAGTTGGATTATTGAATTATTAGTCTTGAATCAAGGTTGCCAAGTCATTTTACTGAAAATACCCATTTGTCCAATTGTAGGAATTCTTGATCATTATTGATTTGGGCTGAACTCAGAAATCTGAATAGTAACTATAACTCTTCTTTTGATGCGAGCTCTTGGGTACAATTAATAGCATTGTTTAACAGAGAAAACTAGTTACATGGCACTTTCAGAGCAGATTTCAGATGCTGTAAAATCTCACTCAATTTCATTCATAGTTCTCTCTCTGTTAGGAATGAAGGAGGCAAATTATAAAAGTTAGACTTTCTAGAGGATGCACCTCCTCATCACAATGAAAGTGTATATATATTCACAAAAATGTTCCACACTATCAGCGGCAGAGGCTAGCAACTCTGTATCTCATTCTGTTAAAATAAGCATTTCACTGACCAGAAGTATTGATTTAGTTGAAATACAAGATCTCCTCTCTCGTTTTTCACGAGTGCTATGGTACATACAGGAGGAAGAAAAAGGCACCTCTAAACTTTTTTTTTTTTTTAAAGGAAGAGTAAGAAAAAAAAAACATTTTCTTACAGAGTCTGCATGACTAAGCAGATCACCCATTTCCTCAGTGTTCTCTACACATTATCTGGGACTTATTTCTCTCAAGTAGTTAACTATTGCCATTACAGAATAAACAAATTCAGATCACATAATAAAGACCTTAGCTACTCACTTTCCTTGGAGAACAGGATGTGAAGTTAGTGGACACAAACTTAAAAATGCTGGCTAGCGTAAATCTTACTATGCATTGTCCAGAGTTAAGAGCTCCCCCACACCCCCCAAAAAACAGCTTCCCCAGGAAATTCACCTCCAGAGATAACAGGACCACATTGCAGGATTGAGGGAAAATTGAGGGAAAAAAACCAAACAAAACAAAACCACGCTCTTTTGGGATAACAGCTTTTCCCCAAATGTCTCATTTCAAAAGCAGCTAACTTCAACCCCAAATCTTCTCTATTCTATGCAATAGTCATCTTGCCATCCAGTTTTCAAAGCAATTGCTCTACCCTGTTTAGAGCGTGTGGTATACTTCATACACTAGGTGTTGAAAGGCACTGATTTTGTAAGGTTTATTCTTTGGTCCAGTTCCCTCAATTTGTTGACACCTATGGACAAGAAACTTAAAACCCAACTGATGACACCACTCCTACAACAACTTCTTGATTTAAGAAAATATTCTTTGTTCCTGCTACCTCCCACACCCCAACATCCCCTGCAAAAACAATCTGAGTGTTCTTATTTCCTATGCCCAGAAGCTTGTGTTTGGTTGCTGAGGTGCACTCCATAACCCTGGCATTTTTTTTAAGGAAGGAATATACAACTCTTGAACTACTTCAGGAAAGGAGAAGTCACAGCCAGCCATCTTTTCACACAAGTGTTAAGTAGCCACGCTGCAAAAGTAATCTAAACCTCTGGACAGTTACATTACACTATGAATGCTGTTTCTTTCGCCTTCATCAGTGAGTAATGCAAATAATAAATGCAAAGACTAAATAAAAGACAATGATAAACAGAAGATGGCGACCAAAACCTGATGCAAATCCCACCAATTAGAGAGACAGTGACATGCCCTGACACTGACAGACAATTTTCGGATTTCACAGGCACCACAAGGGTAATAAACCTTTGGCCTTGATTACCCATTTTCCCTCTTGCTGATTGCAGCTTCTCAGGCCTCAGACACACTCTCTGCAGCAGCTGCTCTTTCCCACTAGCACACCACTCCCATATTTGCCAGCACAACTATCTGCGTGGCAAGTACAGTAAACTGATTCAGCTGAAAAACAACCCGGAAGCAAAATTCAGCTCCCAAATGTAGTTTACTACAAAGTTGCACAAACAGCTATGCAGGCACAAAGCAAAAAAAGTCAGAGGGTGGGAACAAGCAGCCCTGGGTATGGCCTGACTGAGCTGGCATCACTGCCCACAGGGCCATGGTCTTAGCAGCCAGAATGGTGCTCCAGCATGGCGGACGGACAGTGTTTTGACTTGAGAAAGCGAGATGGTCCTTGTGACAAAGCTTACCTTGCCAATCAAAAGGACAGTGCATGTATCTGAGGTGAGACATGAACATTCTCATACTTAATCCTCTCAATTGTCTCTTTCTTTAAATAGTCATGGCATCACAATGAGGTTTGTGTGGAGAGGTATCTATTTCTGAAGTTCATTTTGTTGTTTGGGTTTTTTTTTAATTGAAAAAAATCAATGTAATTGCCACTCAAAGGGCAAAAGTAACATAAATTATATCATGCGGTTAGACACCCTTGATATGCACATCTCTCTCCCCATAGCAAATACTTTTAAACTGCCCAGAGCTCAAAGCAAAATACCAATAGACCTCGTCATGCAAGTCCTTAACATTTAACATATTTAATGATAGCCTCTACGAACAGGTTCTTGCAATTACATGTGGGTACTAGCATTAAAGGCGCAAAGAAAGGACAAGGCTCTGTTCTAGGCAGCAGGAAGGTAAGCTGCCCTGACCTAGAGAAACTGGTAACTAGCACTAACAGAAATTTCTCCAGATCAGGGCAGGTTCCCTCCTAAATGCACTCAAGTAGGACTCGTGAAAGGAACACCTCTATGTGGTGACAAAGGGAAACGATGCAATCTGCACCATAAGAACAAATGGGTAATTTCTTTAACCTCATGAAGAGGAATTTGCTTTGGCCGTGATGCCCTTGCCTGAGATAAAGGGCTAATTTTTAGTACCTGAATAAAAGAAAATCACTTCCTTCAGCCCTCTACCTTTCTTTATTTTCATGTTGTGTCTTCTTATGTCTGGGATAAGTAGATATTCCCAGGCTGTCCTAGAACACAGACCTTTCCCCAAGATCTTCAGGGAATCAATATTTTATTTTATTCTTGATCTCAGAAACCTTTGCTTTGCTCCCAATCTACACTATACTTTGCTGCCTGCTTAAAAAGCATGGCTCCTGGCATGCACTGCTTTCTTCACGTGAGGACCAACGTTCCCACAAGAGCAGCATCTCCCAACCCATCCTATGCAACCAAGGACCACTGTGGAGTTCTGGCCACAAATACATACTGGTATACATAGCCTCTCATGCATGTTGCCTGCTTGCTTTGTGCTCGTTTCACTCAACACTTGAACTTCACCCAAACTGCTCAAGGAGGCATAACCATCTTTGTCATGAAGTCCTAAAAGCCTTCTCTCATCCCTTCTCCTGCTAGGAATGAAGTTGCCACTCCAGAAACTGCTACTCTTGGTCTCCATTTTCTGACCAAGGCCACAGGTAACCCCTTCCACATTTTACAACCTCATACTAAATAAAGTCACAGACAAATGAAGATATGGGTGAGGAGAGAAGAGACAGGTCCCCTCAGCAGCCCTGAGAAAGACATGTGTCTGGTATAGGATGTAGGAGGAGTTTCAGCACAGTAGGACAAAACAAAGTAGAAAGAACTGAAATCCTTATCTCCTGAGTTCTACAATCCTTCCCCCATCCCAGATTCATTATTTCTGGAAATCTAGGAAGAGTGTCTTTATTCAAAGCTGGGGGGTTTTGTACCAGTTTGGAGTTTCCTTAACAAAATTAGGAAAAAATGTTAGCTAAATTGCAGCTTCTTCATTTTCATCTCTCACTCTACTCCACTTCTTGTGGTGCAATTTTTCCACAATAACAACAACAGTTGTAGTTAAAACAGCAAGGCTTGAAAAACTAGAGAATTCCATTAAAAGGACATGACAGTATATTTTAAGGAAAACTGTATTCCAAATAATTTAAAAACTGAAAGAGACCAGCAACAGATTTAGAAATAGGAGGAACATTACTTTCAGAACCATTCTAGTTCACAATGATTACCTTTAAGAGAAAAAAGAGAAAGAAGCCTTGAATTTAAGCTTTGTGTCCTCCCAAATCTTGTCTG